TGAGCTTCCTGTGGACTAATTATCAATGGAATCCTACTTTTTGCATTTGCAAATCTGTCTCATTTTGTATGCAATCGGCAAGAGCTGAAGCTGTTTTTCTGGTGGTCTCTGATGCTGTTAATGACTCTGAGCCATAATGACTCTGGAATTCAGATCACAATCTCTCTGCTGAAACAGATTTGCACCTTCCCATTGTCTTCTGTCACAGTTGACATTTTTTCCAGCTGCTGCTTGGAGGAATTGATGCCCATTTTGGTAGAATAGTATTGCTTCAGTGAACTCCTCCTCATTGTCTTCTCAATCTCTCTTCTGGTATGTGAAGAGGAGAAAAAAAAAGAGATCTGATTCAGAAAACACTTATCATGGAATATTCTTCAACTTATTGGAGTTTAGGAAATGCAGACCAACGATTTGGTTCAGGTACCACATTAGACGATGTATTTTTTTTTAATACCATGTGTTCATTAAACCGTAATTTTTTGGGGTTTGTCTAGCATGCTAAGTGAGAACTAATAGTTAACTTTGGTTTCATATTCCAGGGAATGCTTATCAAAAATAATGGAGAGTTTAGGTTTGGATGACTCATTTCATCAAAGGAAGGCCATTTATATAATTGTAAGTTGGTGGTACATGAATTAGTCAGCCTAAGCCACTTACCGTGACATGTAAATCCATCCATGATAAAGCCAATCCCAACATCAAGGATGAAATGATGCTGGATAAAGAATTGATTATCCTTCTCCTTCATTTCTGATGTCTCTTATAGTGTACAGTACCTTGGTAAGCCCATTTGTAAGCGTAACAGATGGTAGCATTACAGCTAGTCCTTAATTTTACAACCACAATTAAGTGCAACATTTCTGCTGCTAAGCAAAACATTTATTAAGTGAGTTTTGTCCATTTTACGACCCTTCTTGCCACAATTGTTAAGTGAATAACTGCAGTTGTTAAGTTAGTAACACATGAAATGAAAATATTTGTGCACAAAGATGGATGGAACTAATAGCTTCACACGAGTATAATTCTGGCTTCCCCATTGACTTTGCTTGTCAGAAGGTTAAAAAAGGTGATCACATGATCCCGGAACACTGTAGCCATCTTAAATATGAACTAGTTGCCAAGCAACCAGATTTTATCACATGACCATGGGGGGTGCTGCAATGGTCTTAAATCTTTTTTTCAGTGCCGTTGTAACCTTGAATGGACACTAAACAAATGGTTGTAAGTTGAGGACTACCTATAATATGGATAGATATCTCTTTTCCACTTTTAAATATACCTGAGCAACATGTTAGTTGCTTTCTGAATCAAAGTACTGAGTGCAGCTGCAGTTATTTACTGGTTTCTTATTTCCTCCTAGACCTTGAGTCTTCAAACTTGGCCCTTTTATGGCTTGTGGACTTCAATTCCCAGAATTCCTTAGCCAGCGTGGCTGAGGAATTCTGGGAGTTGAAGTTCACAAGTCATAAAAGGGCCAAGTTTGAAGACCCCTGTCCTAGACACTTTTGGTATGTGACATTTCTTTCTACTGCCCACCCATAAAAGTGAAAGGAAAAAAGGGAGACTGGCCAGTAGAGATAGATTACTAGCCCCACACCCAAATTTCGTCCTTTTTTTTATTTGGTCATAGGACCGGCTGTGGTGGAGTTCTGATAAATGGAGATGACCTAATTTATTGCAGACTTTTTGTTGGGGAACTGATAACTGGCTTGTCTTACCTCATTGGTCATGCCTGTTCTTTTTCCTGGTATTGTAGAATTTGGATTTGAGATGGGAGTGTTATTATGTTACTCCCCTATTTACTCAGAGGATAAGTTAAAAATGAACAATCAAACCTTTTGTTTTATGAAACCCATGTAAGATGACATAAGTTGTTTCTCCTTAAAGAGTTACAGCAAACAAAGTTATGCTTAATTATAGAATGTCAAAATGGGACTACGGGTTTCTTTTCTTTGTTTTAATTATAGTATTATCTCCTCCTCCTTTCTTGCTTTCAACTCTGGCCAGCCACCAGCTGCCTTTCTTTTTCTTTTTCTCTTTCCAACTCTGAGCTCCATGTTTACCTTCTTAAAGAAATGGCCAGATAACATTTATTCAAACCTTTATTCAAAGGCAAAATAAAATAATCTTTCATCATAGAAGGAAGTAAAACTATTCAGTTAAAGTATAATCCCAAGAGATTGTATTCCTTGATTTAAGAAACGACAACATCCAAATTAGTCAAGTCAAGACAGGTACCTCTTGCTAACTGGTGAGATTAATTTAAATTGACAAAAAAAGTTACAAGTAAAAAGGATATCGAATAAAGTAAGAAGAAAATAGATTTGGTAATAACATTTGCCCAAACTCCAAAACAGCCCCATTTTAATTCAGATCACAGACAAATACACCAACAATAATTTAACTTTGCAGCCCATGTCTGAGGAAACATCCAGGTATATAATGCCCTACAAAAGACCAGAAGGATCATACATTAAAAAGATGCAGGGCTTTAATTGCCCAGTTGAAGCTAGTAGCCATTAATTTAGACCCCTCTGGCCTTAAATGTAGATTTTTGTCCACTGAACTTGTGACCTCACTGATTCTAGGCTCCTCCTGCTCCTGCATTTCCCCATTTTCTCTCCCTACTAATCAGAAAGTATTCAAAAGCTTTTGCTACATATCCTACACAAGGCAGTATCCTGTTTGATCAGAACCCACCCCCCAAAAAATATGGAAATTTATTTTAAACTTTTTCTTCAGTTTAGAATCCCAGAAATATATTAGATTTTAATTCCCATCATCCTCAGCACATCTGAACATTTATTTTCATAATTTTTATTTGGTATATTTGCCTTGGCTAGAGATAATGAGAGGGATAGTTCCATGGAATTGAAAACATTTGGTTAAGAAAAATTGCCTTCAGTAAGTTAGTAGGAGTAAATGGTAATCAGAGCAGGTTTTTAGAACCTGAGTGGATTATTGTTCTAGCACTGCATAAAAATATGATCTTTGCTTGGATACAAGCAGGACTTAAAACAATCAAGCAGATTTAAAACAGATCACATATTCATAGTATTTCAAAGAGTTCAGTATGTTGCTTCTGTCACTTCCTTTATATCCTGAAACCAGTCTAGGCAGCCTTGGATCAGATTCACATATTATACCCAGCCGTAATATGACTTGTTCTTTTTTGGTTTTGTATTTTATTTGTAAGAGTAAAATATTAAAAACACCCTACAATATCAACAGAAAAAAATGGTTGCACAGTGAAGAAAAATCTGGCATATTAGTGATGTAAATGTAAAGAAACTAAACATAAAAAAATATTAATTAAGAAGAGTGAGAAAGATCTATGTAATGTATGTTTGTTTTTGCCTGAACATAATACGTGGACTGTAGTTTAACAGTAATATGCAAACCAGGTTCCTATGGGCTATTCAACAAACTTTGGTTTAAAACCTTGTGATTTAGTCTATATCTGTTTTTCTAGTTGCTTTGCCAATCTCAAGAATAACAGTAAAGAAATTTTTAGTATGACTTTGAGTACATATCTGGAGACAGGATTATAACAAAGAAGAATTCAGCAATAATGTATGTTCAGCTCTGTCCTTTGTAAATGGATTTTAGTATATCCTGGGTTTAAAAAAAAAAACTCTCCAGAAATTGTTTATTTACATAAAGTGACTATAAAAGCTAATCCAAGAGACCTTGTTGCCCTAGGCAAAGATGTTCTTCACCTTTTCCAGATCTGCAAGGTGACTAGGCTAGCAATGACTTCAGTCACAGCTTCATAGAGGACAATCTGCATCATTTAATCAGACAATTTAAATTATGTGTCTACAACAATAACAACACTTTATGTAGAACAAAAAAACTTAATAAGATCTAAAGCTGGCAGGTATTATTCAGTATTGTACATTAAGGAATACACCATTAGATATTGTTCAGCTTTTCTCCTGAGGAAAATCTGTTTTCTTTGTTTATATAAGGATAATGTCATTCTGGCTTTTGGTGACAATGTTCCTTGTACTAACTGAAAGAATGTATAGCTTTACATGCTCCTAATTAATAGCAATTTATCTTCATTTTAGACCCTTTTATAAAAAGCAAGGTTTAAAGTATCATATATATTCAATTTTATAATGCAAGATATTAGACATCTCTTGACCTATGTTGGATCCAGTTGGAATATATAAAACAGATACATTAAGAGTTCTAAAGATGGCATAAAGGAAGAAGTTCAGCCAGATGTTACAGCTGACATGAAATGTAGGGTTGCTTGCAATGCTGAGTTAGCACTGGGGTGAAAAGTTCTTTCTAACCCCACTATGAACTGGGGACATCTGTATATAAACTTTGTAAAGAATTCTTCTAAATTAACTGGAGGGAGTTCTTACTATAGTCCTTATTAGCTGTAATTCAGCCTGTTAGATTTAACAGATCAGTCCCTACAATTAGAATGTAAGGATTCTGGGTCCTTGATGCGCCAACTTTAAAATATGACATATCAATAGTAATGATTGGTCCTTATTGTATGGCTGATCAAGGCAACTAAATATTCTGCAGTTATTAGGTGAAAATTAGTCAAATTTGGGTTTTTTTTATCTTCCAAAATGATTTTGCTTCTAGGGTGCCCCTACTAATTAACCCCTAAATCTGATGACAGTAATATCTATCCTTTGATTTCCTTTACAAGATTTGTAATAGAATAGCTTATTCACCCTAGCAGTTTTATGAACTGACTGCTGTGTTTTGATTTACAGGTTTACTTTTCTTTTAATTCAGTAATAAATCAACATATTTCATACATGAAAGTAAATGACAATCAAATTCAATATGTTTAACACATGAAATGAAAACATTTGTGCACAAAGATGGATGGAACTAATAGCTTCACACGGGTATAATTCTTAGTCTTAAAGTGAAAATTGAATAAAAGAATAGCAGTTGGAATTAAGTGACATAATTAGTTTTATCCAGGCTATAAACTATGCCTTGGTTTGTTTTTTCATTCACAGGAAGAAAGCATCGTAAAGGAGATAGACATCAGTCACCATGTCAAAGAAGGTTTCGAAAAAGCAGATCCCTCTCAATTTGAGCTCCTGAAAGTACTGGGACAAGGCTCCTATGGAAAGGTAATGTTTTATTGGTCTGGTGTCTTCAAAGTTGGTGGATCAGTTCCCAGAATGCATTGTGTTTAGGCTGGAATGCTGAAAGTTGATGCTGTTGTGAAGCCTCCTTGTATTCATAATATCCAGATAATCAGACCACCATACCATTCACAAAGTACATATTCATTCACTCGTTTCAGACATAGGAACCACTTCTTCATTAGTGTGAGATGCATCACCTGACTCACATCTAGGGTCACATCTTCAGCTTTCTTTTTCTCCCCTCTTCTGACTCCTCATATCTTCCTCTGTACCTAGTTTTCTTTCTTTATCCTCCTTCATGTTGCCATAAAGATAGAAGCAGCCATGCTTCTTTTTCAAGGATCAGCCTAATATTTGTTCAAGGATAGGGCCTTTAAAGCTATGGAGAGTGAAGAAAACTTCCAGGTCTTTTGGTACCTTCTATTATTCTACCTTGACTCAGAACAATAGCTTTACTTTGCCATTGGATTATGTGAACCAAAATAAAGGCATCCCAGATGCCACAGTTTCCCCCACCTTCAATTTAGCTTAGTTGTTGCAGAGAACTTTGATTCCTGAAAGAGCATTTTCGGGGAATATAATAATTTGAAATAGGGAAGCATGGAAGATAAAGCATAGAAGCCATTTTTGGCTAAGATTTGTTCTATATTAGATGCAACCTACAAAATTGGAAGGAAAGCACGACTCCTGAGATCTGCCATTTGTAGCTAAATCTATCACTCTTTGAAGGGAAATTGAGAAAGTACTCTTTATCTAGCCTGAATCCATAAAACTTTTCAATATTTCAGTGTTCCACATTTACCAAACTAATATATTTTAAAATATATCTGCATTCAAGGCAACCAGTTTTTCAGCTAATGGAATTATATGAAATTATTTTGCAGTGGATAGCTTTTGATAGGAATAAGCAGAGAATAATGTTTTGTATTAGTTTTCATTTGTTGTATTTTTTATAGGTTTGATATTTATTTTCATATCTTCTTAAACATTATTTAATGTTTGACACATATAGTTTGAGAGGAATACAATCAAATGCAATATTACAGGGAACAGCTGACAAATGACTATATATTTTTAAATATAAAGTTACATTTATAGCTATACTTTCTAGTTATAGAAAGGCAAAACTATGCAAAATCAAATGACGTGTATTGATTTTTTTCTCCCATTCTTCTTCTCCCACTCATGAACATAAAATAATTCACTCTTCAAAGGTTTGTTGCTTATTAAAAGAAATGCAGATATTTTAATTTGTGAAGAATTCCTAGATAATCTTAAAGGTTGAATACCTTTAAAAATTCACTCAGTGGTATTTTAAAAATTGAACAACCTTTGAGGAATTATTAAAAATAAGATGACCAGTCTCTCTATGAAAATGAACTTATTTGACAGCTTAGTATATATTTTATTATCTTCTGAACTATTGCAATATAGTTGCAATCTTAAACCTAGTGATTTGGGTTTCTGAGCATGTTAGGTTGGAAATTAAACTAGCAAAAAAAAGGGAATTCCTCCTAACTACGGTAAGATGCTTGAAAGCAAGCAAGGTAAATTCCTATGAACAGTGATTTTTTTAAAAAAATAGGTAATCCAATGCAGTTCTTCCTCTCTGAGAGTGCTTAGTGAAATAATATGTAGCTAACTTTGTTAGTTCCAGCTGTGCCTCTTTTAGTGGATATTGCTAGAGAGAAATGTGTTACTGAGAAAGAGGTTGGCTTTCCCTAAAACTGCTCTGAAATATTTAATTTCAAAATATTAAACATGTTTCTCAAGAAGATATACTTTGCAGTTTTCAGGTATTTGTTGTTGCAAACATCTGAACTAGGATCTGAGGGTTTACAATGGTCTGAATATTAGATGGTGTATGTGCATTTTTACTTTAGAGAGGGGGAATCAATACATTTGTTTTTGTTCCTATCATTTTGTAATAAAAAATGAATATCAAACTCCATAAAATTAGACTAAGGAATATTTTGTATCCTGTTTTTCACTTGGAGCTCTTTGTTCTACTATTCAGCACATAAAAACCATTTCTTGGAGAAAAATCAGGATCTTATCACCCAGAGCTGCCCTCTGAGGGAGATGAGCAGTTAAGAAATACGAAATATCAATAAATAAACCTTTTCTCCTTTGATTTCCTTTCACCACTAAAGTCATTATTTCACTATCTGTGTGGGCAAATGTAATATATCTGAAGCACAAAACTGATATAGAAACCTATTTATATTAAAGAACGCTTGGGTAAAACTTTGGGATTTCAATTAACCCTTATTTATTTTCTGAGTATTAGACCCTGAGCTTCTACTGATAATGCATTAGTCTTTAAAATTGTTACTACCGGTAGCTCCAAAAATGGCCCAGATGGTAAGTGGACCTTCTTTTTAAAAGCTGACATATGCTCTGTGTTTGTCTTCTAAGCCCACTTCTAGCGTCCATCATAATTTATATATCTTACACATTTTACATTTAAATTTCCTATGAAGCTTTCTTCTATTCCACTCCTCTAAGCTTGCTGTCAGTTGTGAATTTGGCCATTTTTGCAGGGATTGTGAGGGCAACTGTTTCTGTGGTGTGGTGTTTTGAAATCAAGTCCTTTTTATCTTTGTTCTGTATTTCTTGTTTTGATTATACTTTTCTGGTGGATTTTTTTTTTTGTAAGCCACAAAGAACTGTTAAGGAAATAGGGCTCACATAGATTTTCTAAATAAATACTGAAGAATAGGGAAATGCATACTTACTTGATTACAAACCTAGCAGGATCGCTTTACATTAAACAAATGCAACAAGTACCATTATTTTAAACATACTTCAGTAAAGTGCCCCTTGGATTTCCCCCCCACAGGTATTCCTGGTGAGAAAAATCAAAGGATCTGATACTGGGCAGCTCTATGCAATGAAGGTACTTAAGAAAGCAACTCTAAAAGGTAAGAAAAAAAAAACAGAGTCAGTGTACAATAACTCTTTTGATTAATATCATGTTTCCACGAAAAATAAGACAGTGCCTTTTTTTTTGCCTCCAAAAGAGGCACCAGGTCTTATTTTCGGAAGATGTCTTTTCCATGGTCTCACCTTGCAGCAGCAGCACCAACAGTCTCACCCAGCCCACTTCTTCTGCAGCCACTCACTGCCACTTGTGCACATCGCCCCCAGCCTCCATTTCACTGTCAGGGGCCTTCCGGAAATGCTTCTGCAGCTGAGAATGGAGCTCTGGATTGATGCGTGCAATCTCCAGGGCGGTACTGCATGCGTCAATCCAGAGCTCGGTTTGCGGCTGCAGAGGCATTTCCTGAAGGCCTCTGACAGCAAAATGGAGACTGGGTCCACCATGCGCATCAATCCAGAGCTCCATTCTCAGCTGTCAAGGCATTTCCTGAAGGCCTCTGGTGGCCAACTGGAGACCGGGGGCGATGCACATGTGCGAGTGGTGGTGAGCGGCTGCGGAAGTGGGCCGACAAGATAGGCAAGTGTCAGGGCATGGAAGGCCTGACTGCAACTGTGAGCGGGTGCAGGGTGCATGGGGTAACTCCATCCCCCACCCTGTCCTAGCTTGATTTTTAGGCTTGCACCTCACCCCCAAACTAGGGCTTATTTTGGGGGCAGGGCTTATATTAGGCCCACCCCCAAAAATCAAGCTAGGGCTTATTTTCGGGGTAGGTCTTATTTTCGGGGAAAACAAGGTAGACAAGTGATTTTGTTGCATTCCAGGTTGTATGTATGTATATCAGTCTCATAACAAAGAATTACTCTGAGTATTATGTTTGGCTCTTATATTCTGATTCAACAAAGGTAGCTATGGATAAAAAGGAAATTAGCCTAAAATCCAGCTTTTTTTATATACGACCAAGGGAAATGGAACTTGATCTTTCTTGATTTGTCTTTGAAAAATAAGGAAGAGTGAGTTAATGCTGCAGGATGCTTAGGGCAACATAGGTATGTAGGATCCTAGAGAAGAAATTTCATACAAATACATCTTGTGCTCCAATTGCAGCCATTTCTAGATTGAGAGGCACTGCTTGCAGTCATTCATACACGCGGATACTTCTTTTAGTCCAGAATGAATCGGCAGGTGCAGTAGGTATATCCTATATGAACTGCACTCAAGGTGCTGATTGACACTTTTAAAACCCTACATGGCATGGAACCAGTTGCTTGTGAGAGGCCTTGTGGTTTCTGACTGACTGGTAGTTTCAGATCTGGCAGAGTGAATATAATCCAGGTGCCATCTATAAAACAAAGGTGGGTTCCTGGAAGCATACCTTCTTTGTTATGCTGCTTACCCTATAAAACAGGCTCCCCACTAAATATGGACAGCTCCTGCTCTTTTGACCTCATGCAAGGCCATGAAATCTGGCTCCCCCCCCCCCCGATACTGGGATTTGGGAAGTTGGCATGGGAACTCCAACATGAGTTGGAGTATGTGTCAAATGGTTCTTGTGTTTACATTGAGCCTTAATGCAACTTTAGTCAGTTGTTGTTTTAATTAAATTCTATTTTTATTTGTTTGCTGCCTAGACTTCCTTGATAAATGGGAAGCAATATTTATTGGATTATTATTACATAAGTAAGTAAAAATAAAGGCAGTTGCAAATCAGAAAAAAGAAACCCTCCAAGTAAAAGTAATTCGGTAGTGAAACTTAGAAAACTTTCTTTGTTATAAATATATTCAAGAAGAAGCTAGATAGCTTTCTACCAGGAACATTATGAGCTAATATAAAGCAGAGAAATTCTGCCCTATTTGTGATGGGTTCTCATTCAGTTTGATGAAAAATAATGCACTTTAGAAATCTTTCAGAGAAGAGAATGGGTTAAATAAGATGTTCTTGCACTCTCCTATTTAGTGTGTTGATTTATACGCTATTTCAATCACACAATTCTTTGCCTAATGGATGCAATTGGGCCTTTGTCAAATCCATAAAATGAGAAATAAGAGCTTGGACTAAAGTCAATATTACACTAGAATACTCATAAGTGGTACATCAAGCTTTACATTTCTAAGAATACTGTTTTTTTCTGCTTCTACTGTGATTCTACTTCACCACAAAATGCCTTGCTACCTTTTTCTTATGCTAAACTTTTCTATCCCATTTCAGATTTTTAGATATGGAAGTTGACTTTAGAGACGTGAATTATTTTAATTAATCTCTTTATAATTTTCATTTATGATTTAAGCATTATTCGATATTTGTAATAGTTTTTGAATTATTTTTACAAATCACTGAAGCTTACACAAGTATATTTTAAAACAAAAAACAAAAACTCAGTGCAGTTCAGAAAACACACCCCATCTGCCAGTTTCCCCACTCCCATTATTGTTCTACGATAATGGAATGTTTCAGATAGTACTCCTATCTGAATAAATAAATCCCCTAGAAGTAAGTGGAACATCTCTGTATATATATGCTAGGAATGTGTTACAAGACTTGCAAAGTGTATTGTCTTCCAATCTAGGTTCTGCTTTTTGAAGCTGCGGTTTTTGTTTGTGAAACCAGCTACGTTTTATTTTTACTGCTCAAAGATCTGACTATTATTCTTTACTATCAATTATTATAAATCACCATACTTTGAAAGAAACTGCGGAAATGGCCAGCATCTGTTATAGTATGTTTGAAGGATCTTAAGAGGCGGGACAAAGAGATGCTGCCTAGGGAATGGTCAGATAAGTGACAGCATGGTGGGTGGGGCAAGAGGCTCAGAAGGATCCTCCCTAAGTTCTTGGGCTGAAAAGTTGACAGTGGAAGAATTAGGCTTTCAGACATGCAGGGTTCTGTTAATGTAGCTTTACAATGAAGTAGAATTGGATTGTATAGGTCAGACATGTCAAACACAAGGCCTGGGGGCTGGATGCGGCCCGTGAAGTGGTTTCATGTGGCCCGCGAAGCCATCCTGGAAACAGTGAGGGAACGGCCCCCACTGCCTTGGCCCTGGCCCAGGCTGTCCGGGAGCCAGTGTACAATTTTATGGTGGCCATCTATGCTGAAACGCATTCAGTCTTAGCTCCACAAGGCCGTCTAGAAACAGCGAGGAACCAGCCCCTGCCGCGTCGGCCCCGCCCCCTGGGTGCATGCTGGGGAAATGTCACCCTTTGTGAGGAATGAAGAAATGGACCATGCCTTGGTGCTTGCCCCGATCCTACCCCCTTCTGCCAGAGACCCTCAGATCTGTCCCACTCCTGCCCAGGCCCCCACAGGCACCCTTGACGCGAACGATGTAGAGCTGGCCATGCCCACCCAGTAGGCCACACCCACTCCATCCATGCCCATCCAGTAGGCCGCACCCACCCTGGCCACACCTACCTGGCCCCCCAAGGGCAACCGCAATGCTGATGCGGCCCTCAATGAAATTGAGTTTGACACCCCTGGTATAGGTTCTCCTGCTTAAGCGGGGGGCTGGACTAGAAGACCTCCAAGGTCCCTTCCAGCTCTGTTCTATTCTATTTCCCATTTGGTCTACCTGATATGGCTGACTGCACCTATGACCTTTGCTTTGCATCCTCACATAAGCAGAGGCAGAACATAATGCTTAGGGGGCTTATATTGATAGACATGAAGTCTTCAGTAAATGTCAGAATCCTCTGAACCAGCCCTAAATTGCGTTAGGGTAGGTCACACTTTAGAGGAGACCTACTGTAAAATGGAAGAAAAAGACCATTTTGGGGGGATTAGCTGAAAGAGCATTGCACATTTTCTCCTCATCTCTTCCTAAAGATATTCTTTCATATTGAAATGCCAAAGCTGGATTGCCAAAGAAACCCACATAGATTGGCCCTGATGGGGGAAAATTGAATAGAGAGGGGAGAAAAGGGGGTGCTATGTCTGCTGCAAATACTGTAAGTGCCTCTGAAAAACAAAGATAATGTTCCTCTTACAGAAAATAAGCTGTTGTTCTGTTTCCTATTATATTCTGATTAATAGCTGGGGTTCAGAAAAAGGTCACTGAGTCAATTCACATGTTTTATCCTTTCCTACCACAAAGCACATAAAGCAAGAAATATTTACTATTTGCTAAATCTGCATGAATTTCTTCCTGGTTTTAATAATCAGAAACATTTATCGTATTAATGAAATTGGTTTAGGATGCAGGAGTATAATGGTGTACTTTGGTGGCATGTATAAAATATAAGCAAATAGCAGAAGTTGCTATTAAATATAAGATTCACCAGCAGAAGTTTTCTCCGGGATTAACAATGATGGAGTTATGGTCCTAAGAGCATAAGATGCTCACTGTATTTAAATCAGCTCTATAGTGCTTCACATAGTGTTAGCTGTCACATTGGAAATGATTTGTTCAGAATGTGGATGAGATACTTTTCATTGTTCCATAACTGGGCTGAGGAGAGTTCTCTAAACACATGAAGTCTCCATCTCCTCACTGAAAAACAATTGTCTGTGAATACTAGGACAGCCAGAAGAATACTTTGAAATCCTTTTAAATTTAGGGTTTGAATTTAGGACTCTAGACTGGGAATCTGGGAAGATATTGCCAGAATTTAGATAATGAAATTGTAGACAAGAATAAAATTAGGAAGAGTCCATTCTGTTTTGGCCAATATCATATTTGAAGCTTTCACATTCACCAGTCTGGTGGCTTTGTCAGACATAAAACCATAAAGTCAAATGGGACATGAATCCTGGAAGATATTAAGGAAGACATCTACAAGCAGATTTGTTCCAATGGGGCTCTACAGTGGCCTTAATGTTCCAATCAGAATAGAGCTGGAAGGGATCTTGCAGGTCTTCTAGGCCAACCCGCTGCTCAAGCAGGAGACCCTGTATCATTTCAGAAAGGTGGCTGTCCAGTCTTTTTTTAAAAACATCCAATGATGAAGCATCTACAGTTTAAACACTGAGATAAAAGATGTTGTCTCTCCGCTTTTTAGATTTAATCAGCTCCTACTTCAATTTGGCTTTCTTCCTGAAATTTGATT